AGGGAAGCAAGGGTCAGCGAATACACTCCTTCAGATTCCAGAAGTGTTGATCCGCCTTGCCTTCAGATTCTTCTAGTTAGTAAGATAGAAGTAGATTAGGGACAAAGTTCATTACTGTAACTCAAAAGAATGTAATCTTCTATTTAAGTTACTTAATGAAAATCTTTATCTCCCGTATCTTTTTTGTTTTGTTGCTAGATCTGGGATAAGGCGCATTACTGTAACCCAAAAGAATGTAATTTTTTGTTTGAGCTATTTAATGGAAAAACCTTTATCTCCTGTCATTTTGTTGCACGTGTCGTCATCTGCATGAAGTAGAAGCCTAAGTTTATTTAACTCCTTACCTTCTACGGATGACGTCTTTCCAAAAACGCGGATGGTCCCAATTAGCTGACCGATGCACTTAAGTGGCGAAACCCCTGGTCAAACATCGGAAATCTTCGACCGCTTCGTTCACCAATCGCTTCGTCCTTCACGCCTTTTAACCGCATTCACCATTTCCCAACTATCCCTTCCCCTTTCATTATAAATGGGAAAGGATGGTTAGCTGCTATTCCATCCCTTTCTGACTTCTTCTCCATGGAAAGTAAATCTCGGAGAAAAGTCGTCATCGGCTTAACCCCTTTCGGGACATCTTCTTCTTCGGATGATGATTTCTCCGCCTCTCCGGCTCAGTCCAGCGACATGGCTGGGTTGAGTCCCGGAGAGTTCTCAAGACTTTATCCAACAACTCGCCTCCCTGCACCATCTCCTCCTAGTCCACCCAGGCTTCCACCCGGAAGGATAGACTGGGGCTCAACGACCATCCAAGACTTCGCCTTGTATCAGTGGATGCGCAGGGCTAGACTTGGGCGTTCCTCGCCAATTGTTGAGGTAGAACCTTCATGTGAAAGCCGGACTGCTTCTCCAAACTTGCTGAAGTCTCCCAACGATGGTTCTTCATTGAGGGCTGCAGCTCCCCGTCCTGGGACATGGGAAGACTATGACATCTGGGAGGCTGCCGATTCCACAGCGTGTCCCTCGTCAAAGAGAAGGAGCCCATGGAAGGGACCCCCACCTCCTTCTTGTTGACTGCATGGACGCAATAGGCCCTCTTTCAGTGCCTAGCCCCCTGCAAATCAAATTTCTTTTCCTCATTTTATATCAAGAGGCATTCACTTGTTTGGTCCAGGAGTTTTCCCTGCGTTCCAAACTAAGGAGTGTTCCTTAATCTGACATTAGGGATTATCGTTGTAATTCAAAGATACAACCCCCGAATTAACAATCGATGAACTCCCTTATTTTCTTTTTTTATCTTACTAGGAACCTTCCTTGTGAACCAAAAATGTAAACTTTGGCCCATCAATGTGGTCCTTAATAGTTGTTTCTTTGCACCTTTTCTAATGCAAGTATGTAAATCATTCTCTGTACAAAATCTCATCTCCCGGGGTTTGGACATGCCAGGGGAACTTACCTCTTTTGCCCCTTGCCTCCTTTCCTCCGGGTTAAGGCATACTCTTATCTACCTTAGATCAGTTGAGCTCCAACCCTCGAAGTTTGTTTGCTCGGTTGATCTGTGCTGGCGGAATACTAAGCTTCAGCCCTCGAAGTCTGCTTGCTGTTCTTCCTGAATTCCAGATTGTAATGGCCCTCAAAGTCCAATCCCAACCCTTCCTTCATTTTTGACGGAGGCATAAACTTATCTACCTCCGGGGGAGGCATAAACTTGTCTACCTCCCCTATTTTTAGCAGGTGGCATAAACTTATCTACCTCCCTGTAATGCGGGTCTATATCGCCTGGGGGTGCTCCCCCCCCTTTTTTTCTTTTCTTTTTCTTTTTTTTTAATAGAAATCTATAGAACAATGAAATCTGCAAAGGCACTTGGCTTGAAAATAAAGAACAATTTATTGAAACAAACATCTTAAATTTAAAAACAGAGTGTTTTTACAAAATGGTTTTTACTGATAAAATTTGACCAAGTGCTCTACATTCCATGTCCTATTAATTTCTTTCCCCTTGGGAGTCACCAATTTGTAGGTACCTGGGCGAACAACGGCCTTGATGATATAAGGTCCTTCATACTTCTTAGCCAGCTTCCCACCCTTAGTTGGTTGACTTTTATCTCGTTTCCTCAGGACGTAATCCCCTACCTGGAACGCCCTTCGTTTCACCTTGCTATCAAAGTAAGATTTCACCTGGCGACAATAATTCTATGCCCGGATCCGTGCTTCATCCCTTCGTTCCTCTACAAAATTCAGCTCTAGAACCTGATTTTGTTCGTTCACCTCCGGGTCATATTCCATTTCTCTCTTGGTGGGGATTACTACCTCAGCGGGAGCCCGGGCTTCAAAACCATAAGCTAAGCCAAAAGGAGTGTCACCCGTAGCTCTCCTTGGAGTCGTCCTGTATGTCCATAAGATTCTGGGTAGTTCATCTACCCATTTGCTTCCTTCTGAAAGTAGCTTCTTCTTTATTCCGTCTTTGATTGTCCTGTTGACGTTCTCCACTTGTCCATTAGCCTGAGGGTAGGCAATAGACACCTTTGTATGCTGAATTCCCCAAGTTTTGAGGAAGTCTTGAAACTCTGCTTCCTCAAACTGGGTTCCATTGTCAGATATGATCTGCCTCGGGACCCCAAACCTACAAAGTATATTTGTTCCGACGAAGTCAATCATCTGCCTTCCGGTAATCCCAGCAAGTGGCTCAGCTTTCACCCACTTGGTGAAATAGTCTATTGCCACCACAATCCATCTTGCCTGCCCAGCTCCTTTCGGCAGGGCTCCCATAATATCAATCCCCCATCTTGAAAAGGGAATCACAGAGCTGATGGGCGTGTAATTCGTGGCTGGCCTCCCAGGCATATTCCGGAACTGTTGGCAGGTCGGGCACTTGCGTACGTACTCTTCGCAATCCTTCTTCATCGTTGGCTAGAAATATCCCTAGATAATCGCCCTTCTAGAGACAGAGTATGGACCCTGATGTGCAGCACACACTCCTTCGTGTATTTCTTCCATTAGTGCATTTGCCTCCGCTGCCCTGAGGCAACGGAGTAAAACACCGTTGTAAGATCGTTTATAGAGGACTCCATCCTGCACCTTGTAGGTAGGTGCCCTCATTCGCAACAGACGTGCTTCTTGGGGATCCTCCGGGGCTTCACCGTCCTCAATGTATTTGGCCAACCTGTCCAGCCATTCAGGGGGATCTGCTGATACCCAGATCACCTCACTTCTGTTAAGACTCGGGGTTGTCAGCTCCTCGACGGTTGCTAATTTGCTTATGTATTCTGGTGACTCTGCGCTGAGCTTGGATAGAACATCAGCTTCCGCGTTCTGGGCCCGGGGTATGTGTTCAAACTTAAACTCAAACTTCCCCAACAATTCTAAGGACAGGTCTTGATACCTTTTCATCCTTTCTTCCTTTGCTTCAAACTCCCAAGTGATTTGTCCCCTCACCAATCAGAAGTCGCTGTAAACCTGAACCCTGGCTACCCCCAACTTATTGAGAATCTTCAATCCGTTGATCAGGGCCTCATACTCAGCTTCATTGTTGGATACGCGGAATTGAAATCTGATAGCGTAATAAATCCAGAAATTTTCTGGAGTGATCAAGACGACACCTGCTCCGCAAGATCAAGCTCCAGAAGATCCATCGATGCTCATCACCCACCAGTTATTTTCCAACCGGGTTTCAATTTGGGCTCTTATCATCTCCCTGGTGGTGCACTCAACTTGAAAGTCAGCGAGTGCCTGCCCCTTGATCGATGGGCGCGGCCTGAACTCCACGTTATACTGACTGATGAAGACTGCCCACTTGGTCATCCGGGCAGATGCCGCCGGGCTTCGGGCAAGTGACGCCAAAGGCTCATTCGTGAGCACAACAATCCGGTGAGCCTGAAAGTACGGAGTTAATCTCTTCGCTGTCCAGAAGACCGCTAACATGGCCTTCTCTGGACGGGAATACTTTAGCTCCGCATCTCTCAGGGTCTTTCTGACGTAATAGACCGGATGCTGGGCCCCATGCTCTTCCCTCACGATCACAGTACTTATGGCACAGTCCGCAATTGCCAAGTATAGGGTCAGAACATCTCCAGGTACCGGCTTAGATAAAACCGGTGGACTTCCGAGATATCTCTTTAGTTCTTCAAATGCTTCTTGACATTCATGTGTCCATTCGAAGGTCACCCTCTTCTTGATCACCGCAAAGAATGGGTGTGCCTTCTCTGCCAGCCTTGAAAGGAAACGATTCAAAGCCGCCAATCTCCCTGTCAGCCGCTGAACTTTCTTTGCTGTCTTCGGGGGTTCCATCTCCATAATAGCCCTTACTTTCTCCGGGTTTGCCTCAATTCCTTTCCGGCTAACCATGTGCCCAAGGAATTTCCCACCCTGAACAGCAAAAGTACATTTCTTCGGGTTCAATCTCAGATTTACTTTCATCATGATTTCAAAGACCTCTTCAAGGTCCCGGACATAGTCTCGGGCCTCTTTGGATTTGACAATCATGTCATCAACATACGCTTCCATGGTCCACCCTAAGACAGCCTTGAACACCTGAGAAACCATCCGGGTATATGTCGCCCCGGAATTTCTCAGCCCAAAGGCCATCACCAAGTAACAGTACAGCCCTTCTAGGGTCATAAAACTTGTCTTTTCAGCATCAGCCGGATGCATCCGAATCTAATGGTAGCCACTGAAAGCGTCCATGAAGCTCATTAACTCTGATCCGGCAGTCTCATCCACCATCTGATCATTGTTGGGGAGAGGAAACGGATCCATGGGACATGCCTTGTTCAAATCGGTGTAGTCGACGCACATCCTCCACGAAGGGGGCTTGGGCGCCAGAACTACATTTGCTAACCAATCCGGGTACTGCACCTCCCGGATATGCCCAATGCCCTGCAGGGTCGCTACCTCCTTCTTCACGAAATCTCTTCTTTCCTGCGACAAATGCCTACGTTTCTGCTTCACTGGTTTAGCATCCCGAAGGACATTTAGGCGATGAACTGCAATCTTGTGATCCAGCCCTGGCATATCAGCTGGACTCCATGCAAAGACCCTCCTGAACCTTCTAAGGACTGAAATCACTCGTGATCTGAGTTCAGCCCCCAGGCCCTTGCCAATCCTAACCAACCTTCCCGGCATGCCTGGCTCTAGTTCCACTTCTTCAATGTCGCCAGCAACTTCTACTCTGGGACGTTTTTCCTCAGCCCTCAGGAGCTGCGCAGTCACCTCTCCCACTTGGGTATCGTACTTGACCGGCTGTTTAGTTGCCTTTAAATACCATGCTCGGGACACATTCTGAGATCCCCTGGCAATTACAACTCTGTGGGGGGTCGGGAATTTTATGCGTAGGTGACGAGGTGAGATGACACACTCCAAATCTTCCAACCCGTGTCTGCCCAGGATGATGTTTGTGCTGGAGATTATCCCCACCACAACAAACTCCATGTCCAACTTCCGGGTAGCCTTAGTATCCCCTATCTCAACCGGGAGGGTTATCACCCCCTCCGGTTCAATAGAGTCACTAGTGAACCCGGTCAGTGGAGTTTTGATGGGTGACAATTCATCCCTTGTCAAACCAAGAGCCTTGTACGTATCCATATACATGATATTAACGGAGCTTCCCGTATCCACAAGGGTTTTGTGGATCAGTAAGTCCATTATATCAATAGTAATCACTAGAGCATCCCTATGGGGGACCCCTGTCTCCGGAAGATCAGCATTAGAAAATACAATTGGCTCGGTTTTCAGCTTCTTACCTTCTAGGACCAGCACCTTGTTCACCATCGCCGCGTTTTCCCACTTCTTCCGGCTTGCGGCTGAGTCTCCGCCAGTATTTCTTCCAATGATGAAGTTACACCCGTGGTGTCTCTTCTGGCGATGCGGTGCAGGTTCCGAATCCTCTTCTTCATCTTCAAGCCCAATGTGGCGTTTCTCCCGGGTCTCAGCCTGGGCCACTTCTTTATCTCTGCGCTTTCCATTCGGAGCATTCCCGGGATTTCCCGCCTCTCCATCTTGCACGAACTTCTTCAGATGACCCTGGCGGATTAGCCTTGCCATCTCATTCTTCACGGTATAGAAATCTTCCGTATTGTGATCATTCTTGCGATGGTAAGCTCACCACTTTCCAGTATCCTCCACATTACAAACCTTTTGAGAATAGGTTGGATAAGTCATGAGTCTCTGCTGTGCAGCGTGGTCCATGACCTCAGCCACCGGCAATGTGAAGAC